AAGGGTTTCAGTTCAGCCTGGTTTGGGAGTTCCAGGTTAGAGCAGACACTCAAACACACACGCACCCACATTTATGTGAGATTCCCACAGACACAGCCCTTCCTCTATGAGCCAGCACCTCCCTTGTCCCTCTCCCTAAGGAGTGTGTCTCAATGGAAGACTTCTTGCTTCACCCTCAAATTTCAGCAGGACAGTGAATCTATTCCCCATCCTCTCTCTAGCAAGTCCCAGCTCATTACATTCCTGTAAAAGGAAAATGCTGTCTGGTCACTTCAGGAATCAGCTCAGAAATTCACATTTCCCAAAACTAAGGCAGCCAAAAAGGCCAAAAGACAATTGGACTCACACTCCTAAAGTAAGAGAAGGTTCAGGTTTGTTAGAGACTAGGCTGTCCCCAGTGATACAATTAGCAAGCACAGAAGCTGGTTCAAAGTACAACTAGTTTGGAATTACAGAACAACCTGCAGAAAGATTAAAAATAAAAACAAAAAACTGCACACTACAAATTTAATTCCTCTCTGGATAGATGCTCACAATAAAGCAAAATACAGAATAACATCAGAGGGGAAAAAATAAATTTAACATTTCCAAAAAAAATTACTAAATCATGTTATTACAGTTCTGACGTCCACTCCTGTTCTTCCTGGCAATGGAAAATTCAGACAAAAACTAGTTCTGAAACATTTGGAAAAACCCTTGTGACCACAAAAACATCCTTGCTGTTATTTTTATACATATCTCACGGGAAAACAAAAATAAATCTACATGCGCCCATCACCATATAATAAAAAACAAAGCCCCAATCAAACAAAAAATTCTGAATCTTGAATACTTTGCCCCAACAGCAAGAAGTTTCTAACTATTTACGCTACAAAACACACACCAAAGACTCAAATTTTTTATAACTTTCACTGGTCAAGACAACCAATTAGAGCAGGTCCTCAGAGGCCACAGGGCACTTGCAATAAAGGCTGCAAAACACCACTTCATTCACATACTGAATAGTATATTAATCTGACCTACATTACGTATCCAAGGGTGTGCCCACAAGAAATCCAAACTATTCTCATGAGTTTCTGGCACAAAGTTTAAAACTTTCAAATCACAACTGTAAATCCTAGTAAAAACAAAATCACAGCTGTGATGAACACAAATCCCAGTAAACACAGAACCTGAAGGTGATTCCCCCTGTGCATAATTACCTATCAAATTAACAGGGAAGCAAACATGCAGCTCAACAGAATAGAAGATAACAACAGAAAAACTGTGTAGAAAGGATGGTAGAGAAAGTCATCTCTTCTAGGCCACACTTCAAGTGAAGTTATTTAGGACTAATTTCAAAACAAAACTCTAAATATAAGTCTGCAAATAGCTTTAGCACACGTTCATTTTAATTATAAAAGAAACTAGTGAAAAACTCCTCAAAACAATGCTTGGAAAAAGATGCCCATACACAAAAACAAGACCAACACACAGAAGTCTGAGCAGCAGAGGCAGCTGCTCCTCCAGCACTCAGAACCACCACGGGAGCACGTGGAACAACACCCCCCTTTGATCCAGGTCGCAATTAAATCCCGAGGAGATTCATGCAGATACCTCCAGAGATGCAACTGGGTTTTTTGGTTTTTTTTTGGTTTGGGTTTTTTTTTTCAAAACAGCCTTCTTTTCGTTTAATCAAAACCAAAAAAGTTAAGTTGGCTTGAAAATTAAGTCAGTTGCACGAGCAGAAGTACATCGGCCAAGATCACCGCAGAATCCCATTAAGAGGAACAATATATGGCTTTCTAAGGGCACTAAAGTGTTCTATGTTTCACAGGCAGAACCTCAAATACTGCAGTAAATGCCACTATCACTCTGACACAGATAAACCACAGCACACTCTGTAACACATTTCATGTTGACTGAAAAGTCTTTTTAAAGATGCTTTCCCAGATCATATTTACAGCTCTGGCTACCTGATTCATACTGGCACGCGCAGAAGAAACAGCAAGTTGCCTTTCTTTTTCTGAAACTCAACGAGTCTAAGAACTGAAAAATTAAGTTACTGAAAAAGCTGTCTGAGCAGAACAAAAACTCCTAAGCTTCTTGCTAAAGTTTGTTGCACAGGTTATATCCAAATTAGGATACAAAGTAAATCCTTGCATCCACGAGGTCAGGGGAGCATGCCAACCACACGGTCTACAGTACCTCACAATTCAGACCGAGCACTAAAATTTAGAAATACAAATCAAAATAAGGGATGTGCAAAGTAGTCCCAGCCACACCACACTTCATAAGTTTTCATACCAAAAAAAAAGCAGTAAATTTATTCCTGAATGCACAGAAACTGTTATGCTGGATCAAATTAATGATGCATCAAATCCAGCAAAACACCAGATGATCTCCTTCCAAACATATATAATCTGAACATCCAAAGTTTGCTCTGAAGCCTCAAAAGCTGCAGCTGATGAGCCCCAAAACATGTAAGCTTATAATCACTTAGAAACTATTAACGTTCTGCAGAAAGCTTTGTGGCTTCAGCAGGCTGCTCCTGGACCTTCTGCATCTCATCCTATTAGCAGGCTCTCTTCCCACTGCTCTCTATTTAAAGACACCCGGTAACCTTCTCTTCCCTCTGACACAAGTCTCACTTGCACCTCTCTTTCCAGAGAATTGATTGTTGGTCCTTAACAATCATTTCCACTCCCCCACGAGCCAGAGTAGGGAGGAATTATTCATCACTTTACATAATAACGCAGCAGAGACGATTAAATTAAATGGTGAGGATGTAGGTTTAAAAAACAAACCCCAACACACGCTCTAAAAAGAAGCAGTGTGCAAAAAATCCATAATTAGCTTTGGCAGTATATTCTAGAGGTCAAAAACTTGTAAGATTTAAGTTAGACAGCTTTATGATGGTAAAGCTCCTGAGTAGCTTATGAGACTATTGAATATAAAGATGTGTGTAACAGTCTAAACTTCAGGCACCTTCTGAACCAGATACTACTGAAACCTGAGAGATGAAGAATGTGTCACTGATGGCACCACACAAAAGAACCTTCCTTTTCCCAGCACCCTTCTGAAAGCACTGTATATGAGATGGAATGAGTGCAGAAGGAAGAGCAATAAGGACTAGACCCAGAACCAGTTTTTAAACTTGCAGTAAGGTTGTGCTGTCTCTGCTAAAGAAGTTAAATGACAAAAGAAAAGTCACACGAGAGGCAACAGCGACCAGCCATAAGGGGGGGAAGCAGGCAGAATGAAAAACTGAATTATTCAAGCGGGGAGAGACAAGAGGGAGCGCATCCAAGAAGGTAACAGACAAACACGACCTGGGCTCACCCAGCACGGCGTTTCACGACAGCGCTACAATGAAAGCCCGCCGGACCCGCGCTGTTATCAGCGGCGCGGGCAGGGACGGGCACGGCGGAGCGCTCACGCATGACAGCGANCCATGTTTTTCACCGTGTTTTTCTTGTTATTTGCTCAAGGACACAGTGTTGTTGTTTTTCTCGTAAGGAAAAGGCTGAGAACTTACTGCTTACAGCTGCTTTTTACTGCTTAACCAGCTGTATATGATCATGGCCTTTTTCCTCAAGCCACTTCTGCACAAAGACTCTCCACCCAAACCATGCTGTTTCAACACACTGTTTAATTACCTGTAGTTCATGCTTTCAAAGAGGTGAACTAGAGGGGCTCACTGGCACTAAAGGGAGGTGAAAATCCTTGCCAGCTGTTCTCACAGATAGTTCCTGACAGCAAAGGAGCAACGTGCTGTTTGGACAAATTCTGGAATCTCAAGATTTGCTGTGGCCTGTGAAGTGTATTGTCAAGACCAAACCTTTCGCCCAATCTCCTTTCCTTTAGTCTTGCATGGTGTCTCTTCTCTGCTGTGGCATTACTCTCCTTTATGATCCATTTCAACAATATATTTCACAATTTTCCATGGTTTGTCACAGCCTTTGTGTAGCAACACAAAAATTCACTTTTTGGAAGTGAAGGACAGAAAAATTTTAATTTATGTGGTATTCAGACTCCATACTAGCAAGGCTGAATAAACAATGGCCAGACCTCTGCAAATTGCAAAATATCACTGTTGTTACTCTAAAATATTCAAGTGCTGAAGCAGACCATGCTGTGCTGCAGGTCTTTTTTTTTTTAATTAAAAAAACCTAAACAAAACAAAAGTAAAAAAAGAGGAACTCTGGCATAAAGCATGGACAGGCTGTTTTGGGACTCTCACCGTTTTTTGAAATGGAAAGGATGAAAAGCTTTGGAAACCATTGTTTGTGAATCAGTCATTCAGGCAGCTGTTCAGAGGGCTAACATACTTTGCCATGTACCAGAGCAGTTCCAGAGATAAAGAGCCATTCAGAAAAGCTCACATTTTACCAGAAACCCTACTGTTAGATCCAGTTAAAACAGCTTCTTTTACTAGGAATTAGTGAAAATGAATATATAGAACATTTAAATGCATACATCCATCACAGCATTTTTAATCCACAAGACAAACATAGACTCTTGTCCAACAAAATATCAGTCTAAGATTTTTATTCCAGTAGCTTGGTCTACACAAATTGCTTTTAATCACAGAGGCCTTATCCTTCAAGCTGTGGTTTGTCTTCTTGAAGCTTGGGAGCCTGCTTTTGCCTCTGCATTATTCCAGTTATTCCTAAGTAGATCCAGGAGCAATAGGCTATATCTCTGTTGGAACACTATTGTAATTTGCTTTAGGATGGGGGAAGGAGCATGGGTTGCTTTGTGCCATGTGTAGGAGGATGCTGTTGTTTCTCTTTCAACATTTTCCAAACTTCTGCTTGAAGAGAAGAGTCAGACACACCTTGTGAAACACACTTCCTATACAAATAGTACATAATGTACCTTATTTGGCTCTGGTTTAGAACCATTGCCATTCTGTGATGGCTGCAATGGGTTTACTCCTGGATGTTACTGTGCAAGGAGTGGTAGCATCTGAAATGTTTATGCAGGGGGAAAATGAGGTCATGTGCAGCCAGATGTGCAGCCAGATGTCCTATGCTCACAATCACAAATCCAAACTCAGGAGCAAACACGTTGTTATTTTCCCTGTGATGCAATTTAAAAATGCTAACAGGTACTTTTATAATATTTTGGCTTAACATTTTGCTTACATTTTAGCATGGGATTTTACAAATGTATAACTACGCACAACAGTTTGGGCCAAAAGGAAGAAATCAATGTACACATCAGGACAGAAATGACATAGAAGGAGTTCATCTGGCATCATACTGCTTCTCTTAGCACAGGTATTTAGGGCATGCTGAGTGGCTTGGCTGGATGCTACTCTCTACAGCAGAGTTGTTAGTCACAGAAGCGTTTCTCTAGGCAGCACAATTCATCTCTTGCAGCACTGGATAGTACTGGCCAGAATGGCCAGTGTGTGGTAGGACAAACTGCACAGTTTCTTCGATGTCTCCAAGGAAGAGTATGATGAGGTTTCACACAGGAATCAGCTGGTTGATTGCCACAAATATTTGCATTATACTTTCCAAAGGTGTCCACACTGCTTACTGGGGAAAAAGAAAAAAAGAAAATCTCATTTAGAGTAAGCAACAATAAATGGTGTTTAGCAACAGACACCATTCAGCAGGTCATTTTCTTTGCAAACAGTCAAAGCACACTGTGACTTTGACTGCAGGTTACAGTGAAGTACAGAGTACACACAGCACTGATGTGTGAATCATGCTGGTCTGATGGCTCGGGGAAACTCGCTCTGCTGCCATCACCAGAGCCCAGTTCCAAGGAATCCCTCACGTTCACCCACATGGCTCAGGCACAAGTGAATTCCCCTGCATGCTGGACTTCTACAAATAGTTACATGCTTAAATTTAAGCACAGGGTAAACCAGTTGTATGTGCTGAGATTACTGATACAAGTAATTCCCAAGCAGCATCAATAGGGGCCCAATAGCCACACTCAGGAGAATGGCTGAACATCTTTACTCAGGCATGCTCTGAGCATCAGTTTAGGGCTTTATCTGAGGATTTAATCCACTACTACTTCCTCTATCCCTTCACCAAATAAGCAATTATTTTTTTTAAAAAGTTAGCTAGATAGTGATTTGATTCTCATGTCAACATTCTTTTAATTTCATTTTCTTTGCCTTGAATTCCTTTAAAAAGGATGATGTGTTTTAATGCAAAGTCAGAGTTGAGCTTCATACTCCAAAGTGTTTACAATCAAAACACCAAANTTTTTTCTGAGCAGCACGAGCCCGAAAAAGGACCCCCGTTAACAGAGGATTAACCCTTAAAAACAACAGCCTGTTGCATATTCATACATCTCATACATGATGCATAAATTCCATTCAAACACAGGATTCTGTCTGATCATCGTCAACTTCTTCCTTCTAATCCTTACAGCGCCTTCGAGGTGGGAAGAAGTTCGTTTCTCCTGATAAGAGAGCAATAAATTCTTTTTCTCTGAAAGGTTCACGTGTCCTGTTGCTGCTATCTCGCTGCAAGTCCTTTCTTTTAAAAAAGCATCTTACATAACAAAGTTTCTATGTTAACAATTTTTATAACCTAAAACTATATTTACTACGCTACTTAAGAGAATTAATACAGCGTTACTTTCTAACACAACACATATAATATTCATTTTAATATTTGCAAAAAGCCAATAATGAAATACATGCATTTTTCACACTCTGCATTTGAACCTGACTGGCTGTGAATGGTAACCACCCAGCTCCCTTGGCCAATGGCTTTAGAAGCAAAGTCGGTAAGGTCAAGAACCTTTTGATACTCAGCAGGGGTTGTAACACCACTAAATACATAGGAGTTACATGATTTGAGCAGTGGAACAATGCAATGCCAAAACAAACCTGTTTCCGGCAGGATTTTATTCTTGAATAAATTTATCCTGCTTTTAAAAAGAAAGAATTACATAGAAATAAAGGACTAAGTGGTTTTTTTTTTGCTGTATGTGACGCTTTAAAATACAGTAGTTGAAATATTTTAGAAAGAAAAAGAACCAGTATGAAAGAGGGCTTTACCTCATTTTCACTTAGAAAATACATGGGATATATATGGCATGTTGCTTTTCTTAATTTAGAGATAGCACATAACACAACACCCACTTCTTATACAGGGAAACTGTCTGAAAATTGTGAAGAAGAAATTCCATACAGAGATTAGCCAGTTTATTTTCTGTTATTTTGGTTTAAAGAAAAAATACAAAATAATTGTCCTCAAGGACCTTTTAATTTCCATAGCATTATACTTCAGCATTGAAAACTACTTTTGATTTAGGAGCAGCCAATTCACATTGACAGTGGTGAGTGAGGATATCTCAGAACTGGTATAGAACACAAGACTCTGGGAAGAGATGTGCAGAAAGGCGGTGGAGTAGAAATCAAGCCATTAAAGGCTTCTCATAAAGTAACAACTTCAGACACTTTAAAGTGTCCCTTTGTTTGTAACTAGAACTGGTGCTTTGTGTGGCTTCCTGCTGCTGCCAGTACTTGTAGTAAGTGAGGAGAGGTGAGGCTGACGTGATTTTGATTTCACAGAATTCATTAATAATTTAAATGGTAGCAAAGACACGAACATCCAGCATCATTGTGTTCCCAGAGGCAAGAACTGTAAAGCCTTGAGCACTTAATCCCAGTTTGACTCCTTTCACTTCATAAGAGCCCAGCACTGAACAGGTTCCATTGGAAATTAGTCACTTACTAAAACAGCAGAATGAAAGCATTTTTGTGTTTTGGATTTTCTACAAACAACAAATAAAAACAAGCAAACAAACACAAAAATCCAAAACAAACAAATAACTGAAGCCAATTTTCTTCACTGCGAAAAAAAACACACATTATGAATTTCTCCTGTATTGTTAAGCTCCGGGGTTTGGGGACGGGGGAGTCTTTCTCTGTCCCAGGTTTTAGCAAACTTACTGCTTTTGATTTACTGCCCTCTTCTGCTTGATGATGTGAGTTACCCAATGGTTAATTATGCTCAATTAGCCCTCACTGGATAACAACATTTCCCACTAACTACTCAGAAAGAACATAGCCTTATGCAGGAAGAAGGAAGCCAGGAAAAAATCTCATATTATGGGAGAATGGTCAATGAACCCCATGGGCCTAAGTAATTTAATTATGTTATTGTGAAAATATGATTTTCATGCATATTACTGCCTCTCCTCTTTGCTTCTCTGTATTTCCCTCTTTAATTGGTGTGCATACCACAGTCAATGCTGAACTGAGAAGAAAACGCATTGGCAGCTGAACTTCCTGAGGGGAAACACAGCAACCACAACAATTTTAACACTTTTCCTAGGGCACAAGCAGAGCCCACACATATATATTTTTGAAGATCTCTAAGACGTGAAGGTTTTTAATTTTAAAGAAAAACTATTTATCACTAAAAAAGCCTGTTTAGAGCCTGTGATGTCAGCAGTCTCCTTCCCCCTCACGTGTCCCAGCCCACCATCCCCTAATATGAAGCCCAGACCCCCGCACTAAAGCAGCACAGAATCTGAAAAATATAAAAGCTCAAACCTGAGGCATCAACCTCATGTCGTAAAATGGATTTATAACATATGTTGAGGCATAAATAAAAAATAAATTGGTTTCTCTCAGTAAACCACAAGCAAACCTGATGGAAGTGAAGGGAGATGAGCACATCCTATTGATGATCATTGGTCTCAAATTTATTGATCCAGCTTACATACTTTTATAGTAATGTTAATTAAGCTCAGACATATTGCAAAAGCTAAGCTCATCATTGGTTACAGATTACATGTCAACCCCTCCTTTGTGGCTCATTCTCAAAATACTTGTGGTTTTCTTGTTGACGCTAATACTTGTTTTTACATCCTGCTGTTGACTACATTCAAGGGCACCATGTTTTTCACCGTGTTTTTCTTGTGTCCTGGGGTGACGTTATGATGCTTGTATATCCCCATTCATCTGTTCTGTGCCTTTAAGACCGGCTCTGAAGAGTGGAAGTTTTGTTTGGGTTTCTCTTATCAGGACACAGAGACAAGCGGTACATAGGGCTGTTTTTTCACTTCCAGCTTCAGCTTGCTGCTTTTGCTTGCTCTCTTTTTCTGCTCTTGCTTCTGCTCTGCTTTCTGCCTCTGCTTATTAGCTAGTTCTAGCTAAACAGTCCACATTGCTTCCTGGACTGTTTCTCCTCTCCTTTTTCTGTGACCACCTCAACCTGCTCCGGACTGGGACCCGGGAACACCAAAGGTTCGGCTGCAGCAGCTGGCCCAGCGCCGGAGGGACTGAGAACAGAGCAACCACCCCCGAAAGAGACTTTCTGATTTTGCCATCTTTCTCAAAGAGGTGTCATTGGGTATTGTTTATTTTGTGTGCTGAGCCAGTCAAATAAACAGGTTCTTTCCACCTCTCTCCGAGGAATTTTTTCCCGAACCGGTTGGGGGGAGGGGCCGTGTGGATTTCACTTTCTGGAGGGGCCCTCCTTTGCAGATTCTTTAACAAATTTGCCCTAAACCAGGACATCTTGTTATTTACTCAAGGATGCAGTGTTGTTGTTTTTCTCGTAAGGAAAAGGCTGAGAACTTACTGCTTACAGCTGCTTTTTATTGCTTAACCAGCTGTATATGATCATGGCCTTTTTCCTCAAGCCACGTCTGCACAAAAACTCTCCACATTTCCCCCGTTTTCTTTTTGTGCAAGAAGGTTAGTCTGCCAGGTTTTTCTATCATTCTACTGACCATATTTTGAATACAATTAAAAATACAAGGCAAAATAAGCAAAAGCATTAAAAGCACATCCAGTATCCCTATAGCATATGTCACAAGGTTCCTCAGCCACGCTCCAAGCAATGGCTTTTACCCCAAAGGCTGTTCATTGGTTAAAACCACTCTCAACTGAGCCATAATGTCCCACCCTATAAGGCATTGCACACTAGGTGGTAATAGGAGTATTGAAAAAGTAGCTGTTAGCTGTTTTCCATCTCTGTGAACCCGGAGAGGAGGAGAACGGCTAGCCAGGGTTAAGCCTCCAACCCCGGTCACTGTGGTGTTGCTGGCTGCAAAGGCCAGTGTTGAGGCCAACAGCTAGGGCTAATAATGCTGGAATCTGCTCCAGTGTCCAGCAAGCCTGAAAATGATCTTTTTTGTCCTTGAAATTCCACTTCCACTCTTTTCTTGGGTCTCTCAGAAAGGTTCAAAGTCAGCAAGGTAAGTCCTCCAGTGGATCCAAAACCATTTTCTCCCCTCTCTTGTCCTTTTATAGCCTGTAATCCCTTAGTCATTTGTTCAAGTGGCACCAGCTGAGCAATCCTCTGTCCTTTATTAATTTGGAGTGGTGGAAAAGGGGTATGCACCATGACCATAATTTCTCCTGTATAGTCTGCATCAATGACGCCAGGCA